ATATATATATATATATATATATATATATATATATATATTTTCCAGGATTTTTTCAAAGAGTGGTGGAATATCATAAAATGTTGCCCACAAAATTTAAAGGGTGGATACATTTAGTATTACTTAAGGTATCGGACACGACTCAGCGTGACCCGTGTCAAACAATTTAAATTTCATTTATTCGATACCTTTAATTTAATTTATTAATACAAATAATATGTGTACACTTACGATGTAACAATATGAAATATCTGCATATAGGCCTAGTCATGAGAAAAGACAATCAACTCACTGTACTTCTTTCAATATTGATCGATTCAGACGGAAGCAACATGCTCATTGAATTTTAAATATTGAGAACCTTCCAATTATCGTAGGATTATGCTTATTAAAAAGCACTATAAAAAACATGTTCATCGTCATATGGGCCTATATACTAAGAAACAAACAGCTGCACGTTGCAGGTTTTAAATGAACGCAATCAACTTCTTTTAATATTGATCGATTCAGACGGAAGCAACATGCTCATTGTATTTTAAATATTGGGAACCTTCCAATAGGATTATGCTTATTAAAAAGCAATTTAAAAAAAACATTTTCATCGTCATATGGGCCTATTGCAATACACTGAGAAACAAACAGCTGCACGTTGCACGTTCAGTATGGTAATTATTCAGACTCCGTCGTCAAAAAGCACAATTCTAACAATATTTTCATTTTACTAAAATTATTGGCCTAATTAAAGTGTTTTTGCAAATTTCCTTACAATTTTTACAGGTTAATGTTTCATTTCTTACCTTACCTTAACTAACTTATTCGCGTCACGTGTCGCATAGGCCTCAACAGAATGCCTCCATCTATCCCTGTTGGCGGCTGCAACTCTAGATGGTCCCCCCACCCCACCATGATGTCTATCGTCATTTATATTTCGTTCTTTTTCCACCATTCGTCTCCATGTTGTTATTGGTCTTCCTCGTCTTTGCTTTCCTTCCGGTCCATGTCAATGCAGTGTTGCAGTCATTCCCTTGGTCTCTTGTTTGTTTAATGTTTCATTTTTAGGTAAATGTAATTGTTTATACCTACAAGATTGGGTCTACACACTTAAATGTCAAATGAACTCATCAAAATATTTAAGCCCACTACTTCTCGAAAATAGAAGTAAACACCAACACATTCATCTGTTGTGAGTTTTTATTTTACATTTCTGTGCTAAAAATTATAAATAAACGGAACATGTGAATATATACAAGCCTTCATAATACAGGCGCGGATCCAGACCTTCGCCCAGTTCGCCCAGGCGAAGGTCAGGGTGAGAAATAAAAATACAATGTTGATCATTTTTCCAACAATCATATTTAATTTCCTTGACACATATATTGAACATTACCATTAGGACATTGTTTAAAGCCACACTAGCCTATATCTTACACTTTTACACTGATTGTACTGTAAACCCTACCAGGTACATTCCCATTATGGTCTTCTATATCTATAACGCATGATACAGTGCATGACAAACGTTACATAACCACCCACTACTAATTCAGAGTCGCTTAGCTCAGTCGTACATGTGTCTATGTTGGCACTGATGTTGTGTGTTTTAACATTGTTTTAAAGTAATAACCTTTCAGACATTTCACATGAACAACAAAACGAATGAAAAAATATTTGGCTTAGCTGTTGTTTTCAGCAACAGTGACGTATGCGGGAATTAAGAAAGGAGGGTACTGATAAAATGAGAGTTCACACTACGTCAGCGCCACCATGGTTGGCGGTGATAGGAAAATTTCAGTATTTTATACCTCTGAATGCCCGGAAATGGAACTTAAATTTACCTTTTAATTCTTTTTATTCTTGACGAATTGACTAAATAAAACCGTACCCGAAATTGGTATACTTAAATACTTACAATTATAAAAACTACTATATCCAACTGAGCCCCAACATGGTTGGGGCTCAGGTGAGAAATGTTTGAGAATTTGAGACTCGTATGGATGCTTAAAAATAGCACTTGAATAGTACAAAATTTACGATACCTACATGAGCCCAACCATGGTTTAGGGAGGCAGATGAGTAGATTTTAAGAATTTGAGACTTTAGATGCCCGAAAACGGCACCTAAATACTTAAAATTTATGAAAACTACCAATCCATCCACCTCAGCCCATCATGGTTGAGGCTGAGGTAAGACAATTGTAAGAATTTGAGACTTTTAGATGCCGGAAAATGGCACTTTAATATATAAAATCTACGAAAATTACTATATCCACCTGAGTCTTATCCATCATGGATGAGGCTGAGGTGAGAACATTTTAAGAATTATATTCTCAAAATCTGAAAATGTAAAGCAAAATAAAACACAACAAGTAGTAAAAAATTGCTGCAATATGAGCAGTAAACAAATATATAATTGTTTTTTATCAAAAAAATGTTTAAAACCTACAAATTCTCAATCAAAGTGGCATAAATTTTTTAATACAGAATTTGACTGGGAACTTACCTGGTCATGGAAAGTGAAATCTATCAAAGAAAACAAGCTCAAACAGATAAACTATAAAATATTGCACTGTACTAGGTTCCTACTAGGAAAAGGTTACATACATGGAAAATTATCAAAAATAATACATGTCCAAAGTGCAATGTTGTTGAAGATGACGCACATTTTTTTTATTATTGTACAGAATCACATGAACTGTGGAATTTTATTAATCATTTTAGCATTATTAATTATGGTATTGAAGCAAATTTTAAAAATATTGTGCTTGGTACAGGAAACGTTTATATAGACCATCTGTTTTCATTAGGAACGTTTTGCATTTACAAAGCAAACGTCCTAAAACATCTGAACAAATGGTGTTACACCTCAGTTTTCCAACTTTTTATGATAGGAAAACATATCCGCAAATATTTTGAATACCTTTTAACTAAACAACTCATTTTAAAAACGCATGCCAAACATTTCTCCAGTATTTTTACATTGCCATATTGCATTATAGATGATTGTGTAACCACAATGTTGCTTATAAAAAAATGTTTTTTCTTTGTGATGAATAAAGGTGGGATGATCCCACAAAAGATTTAAAAAAAAAAACATTTTAAGAATTGGGGACTTTTAGATCATTCCTGATGATGAAATAATTAATGTCGAAATATTGAATCCCGCCACGATCGCGTGCATTTTGATGTATACTATCTTATCTGAGATTAATCAGTGGACCTTTCGGTTTTTTGGGACTTTTAGATGACAGAAAATGGCACTTTAATACATACAAACTAGGAAAATTACTATATCCAGGCACCCTGAGCACCCCCACCCCGCATACGCCACTGCAGCAATATTAATACTTGTCTCTCTCCCTCCCCCTCTCTCTCTATCCCTCCCCATCGGGCACACCCGGTTAATTATGAGCAAAGTTATAACTTTTCTTTATGACTGTTCTCCACAAATCTCTGTTTTCCATAAGTTGTAGAATGTACTGCCGCTGTGTGTTTAGATCCTTTTCTAATTGCTTGATGTATATAGCCGGGGCCGTCCTTGCCTCCTTTTCCCATGGGTTGGTTTCCAAAAGAGAACCCTTGAAATAACTTCATTTTTACTTCTGTAGCCATGTCCAGCAAAATGCTAACCTTCGTGCCTCATAAGTTCTTGATGCAGGGGGAATGTCTCCATACAGGTCTTTATTTGTAACAGGCCTATGTTGTTTATAGTTGATATTCAAGGCGTGTCTGAGTAATCTATCTTGTATAACAACCATCAAGTCCTCTCTCTCTGTTCGTTTCTTTTTATAGAAATTCCTAATTAGAAATATTTGTTTTAAAACCTTAGGTCACCTAAGCGTTAGAGGATTTCCACATGCAGTGCGGATTCAAGGGGAGCAGTCGGCCCGGGCCCCCGTAAATAGGCCTATTTAAAAATATTTTTAAAGAATGCCAAAAAACTGAAAATTCAAATCCTGAGAGTAATTTTCCGGCCATCTAGAGGCGACATTATTTAAAATTTTCTTAACTCAGCCCCAAACATGGTGTGGCTGAGGTGTCTGTCAGTAAAGGGACCTCTAGGGGCACCCTTTATTTTGAATTTCTGGACTCAACGCTGCAAAGACCACCCATGTGTTCGAAGGTCAGGGTAAATCCTGGATCCGCGCCTGTGGACGCACTGCCGTTTAAGGAGAAATCCATACGCGAGATATGCGTAGTGCGTGGGGAATAATACATTTGCCGGTTTGTAGTAAACAAACCGATTGATATAGCGACATTCGTCAGTTTGCTAATTAATATTCTTCCTTAATTACTTATCTAATTGACTCAATTTTTTTCAGATTCTACACAGTAAGACAACTTAAATTCACAAATTTTAAAAAATCGCCCTAGGCTTACTGGTATTATGGTATTGAGCATAATAATGAGCTTTAATTAACGATGCGAAGTCCCCTTGATGGATAACACGACAATATCCTGAGAAAAACCTCATAAAATACATTGAAATACACATAAAAAAATAACAAAGGCACAGCTAATACAATAAGTAGGTTCGTGAATTAAATTTTTTGGCAATGAATTTTTTTGATGATAATGTGCAAGTTTTATATAATGTAGTTGCTTTTTATTAGTGGCTTTCTGTAAATATTGTATTAATTCAGCTTTTGCTGTGACCGCAATATGTTTTGAATAAACCTTGAATGAAAAATGCATGTTAATCAGTCTGAAAAGATATTCAAAGATAGTAGGCCCATTATAAAGCCAACTGATAATGTTTGTTTTCCATGGCTATTACTTACTCAGACATTCATACATCGATTTTGTTTTTGTTGTTTATGTTTTCAATATTCATAGCTGTTTCATACAATGGAAATACTTTTTAAATATTACAATCTAAAGCGCCTATTTTGACTATTTGACCAAACTGCATGTTAATATCAGTCTGAAATAATCTCATGCAAAGAGAGAGAGAGAGGGGGGAGAGGGGGAGAAAGGGAGGGAGGGAGAGAGAGAGAGAGCAGTAGCTACTGATAATTTTATTTCTACAGCATATTTAGATGTGACAAACCGCTCCCAGAT